TAAAGATAGTTCTGATGATGTTTCGAAGGCTGTTCTTGAAAGTATTAATTTTGAGTATGATGTAGTCGCTGCTGATGCAAAATACCATGATAGTTGTTACAAATCTTTCTTAAAACCTTATACTGGTCGTAAGATTGGCCCCGTCCACAAGATGAAACTGTAAACTCTGCGATGGAGAAAATGTTTCAATTCATAGAAACGAGTGATGATTGCCAGTTTTCGTTGGATAAATTAAGGAATGTTTGTCAAGATGTAGTTCTAGATGACAGAACTATAAAAATACGATTAAAATTGAAGTATGGTAGTAGAATTATTATTACAGAAAGCCTGGAAAAATAATATTTATTTGTTTTATTGACAATTACCAAGATATTTTTTATTTAAGTTAAGTCAGGTGTGATAAAAAAAGATTTGGATGAAAAAGACAAGATGCCGATACCTAACCGATACGTAACATTTGTACGTATCATGTCTTCCTCCAACATCAGTATCTGCTTTTCATCATTTGTATCGAGTATATTATCAAGTTCAAACATGGCTAGGCAATGAACTGAATGCAGAAGACTGGAGTTGGAAATTAATAGATAATATTAATTACTATTTATAACTGGGAATAAGCCACAATTAAAGATAAAAATACGTTTATTGACGTTTCAATTTCCAATTCGGAAATCGTTCTCAAAATACAAACAGTAAATTAAACAAATTTTGTTTTTTGTTACATAGTGAAAAAATTTTTCTAATAATTTAATTTTATCTGACTCATTTATATTGACAATTCAGACATACATTATGCATTTTAAAGTAGATGACTTTAAAATGATATTGCCAATATTGTTGAGTTGCGCTCCTGGGACGACTTTACTTATAAGATAGTTCATTCGATTACATGAAATCAACTTTAACTTGAGAATATCCGTCAGAAAAAATCATAATTTCAGTTAGTTATAAATAGTAATTAATTTACAATGCCACAAGAAAATAGCTTCAGAACAATATTAATAGATAATACTCTGGAACCGATTAAAACCTTACTCCCACCTGCCCCAGAAAAACTCCTTAACACTATTTTTTGAAATTGCAAAGTGCCAAATGTGGATGTAAAAAAGTCGGGTTGCTGTGTTCTCTAGCGTGTACCAATTGCCAAGGTCAGTGTTGCTCAAATGTCCAGTTTAGTACAACAGAGGAAGACTTCTGTGACTTTAATGAAGAGATAAATGACTCAGTCACATTTGAACAATTTTTGAACATCCAGCAAGAGGAAGAGGAAGAAGATGAAATCGAAGAAGACTTGACTGTTGAAGTAGACTTTCAAGAATATGAATCTGATTACAATATCTAAAGAAATCAAAACAATAGTTAACGTAATAATCAATAGCAATATCAATAATCAATATCAATAATAAGGTAATATCTAGAACTTGACCGGTATTGTTTCCTTAAATGATCCTATATTGTCAAAACAGTTGATGGAGTAGGCCTACAGGGTAAACCACAGTAAAAAAAATGCGTCAAGTACACTATCTCACAGGTGGTGTGGAAACGTGTGTATATTATCATGTATAATGTGACTCTTAGAATCGCGATATCTCAGGAATGGCAACTCTTAGGAAAAAAATAGTAAGGACTATTTTTGTAGAGAATTTTAAGATCTACAACTTCGGTTAAAGTTTTTTTTTTTGATGAAACTTACCGTTTTCTATAGAAATCCAAAAAATCTCAAGTGTTGAACTTTGACCCCGAATAACTTTTGTTGCACTCATCGAATCGATATTCGATGGGGACATTTAAAAATTTATTTGTTATGATATACCCTAGCATAACTGAAAATATAAAAATTTGGAGACTGCGAATTTTGCATCTACGCAATTCATTTGCCATTGTTAAAGCAAATGTGTCTCTAGCACAGTATATTACTAATATTCTTTTAGACCTGACAGATAACTCACATCTACAACAATTTCAAATAAAAATAAAAAACTTTGTAAACTTATTATACATTTGATTATAAAATGTACATGTTCAGTTGCCAAAGAATTACTTTAATTTGTTCAGTAATTTGGACATTAGACTGAGTTAGTTATATTGTAGGATGTATTTCAATTATCCATATTGTTACATTAAATTTGATTAATTAAAGATTGTTAAAGTATGCCAATATTAAACACATCAATTTACTTTTGATATCTAAATTGAAACAATTTATAGACATTCATTAATAACAGCATATTTCATAAAACTAGATAACTTAACTTGCAGTATTGAGAAACAGAAGAAGAACTGTCACATGCTAACCTACATCTGTCAAATTTACCACTAAAATCTAATAGATAAAACATAAAAAAACTCATTGTGCCCAAGACTACGATGTAGTGCATTAAAGCCCTTCGCCCCTTTTAAATTCAATGTTTGTTTCGTTCCTTCTAAGTGTTTTCTGTTTTAGTGTGTTTAAATTGTCCTTAATTGTTTGTATTTTAATATTTTATTCACTTGACTTTCCAATAATTTACTAATTGCCAATAGAACTTTATCAAAGTAATTTGATAACTACAAGTTGAAAATAATTGCACACCCACACAATTTTTACATCTAAACTTATTCATTGTCATAAAACTGTCACCTTCATAAAACAATTACTCAATAAATAACACACATTTCAAAAATATATCTCTCGAATAAGTATAAATAGCTTTTAATAACACAATGGTATATTACATCACTTTCATTTAACAAACAATCACACACATATCTCTTCTTCATTGGATCAAATCTATCTCCTCAAGAACTTCCCGTTTACTGTCAAACAACTGCAATAATAGAATTGAGTTCTCCATTCAACAATACATAGTAGTTTCAACCATGTTCTACCATCCATCAATTAATAGAGTACCGGCATGTAAGTAATGTTTATTTTATTTATTTGCTCATTTATTAATTTATTACAATCGAAGAGACTATTTTATAACAATTTGTGGGCCTTACCTTGTCTGTTTAAACTTTTAAAACTTTTATACTTTTTATTCAACTTACTCATTTAAATAAAACCACAGACATGTAATATTGGCATAATTATTGTAATTTACAACATCTACTTTGTTTATCGTTATTAGACAACACCCTAATATGGGTTTTTATTATTTCAGCATTTGTTTAACTTTGTATCGAGACCTGAGGATGCTTTGCATATTGTAGAAAGCGAAACCGGTCGTCTGATAGTTAAATTAAATTGATTGTGAATAAGTCTTATTTATTATTTCTTTACCTATTCAAAATTAGTGTGTTTTATTTAAAAAATGTCACATAAGAATATAAATAGTCGTTGTAAAGAAATGACAATACTTTTGCAATAATTATGTGACCTATTTGATTTAAAACGGATTCAGGATTTTTTTATACTTTGGCAACTATGTCAACTTCGATGTCTGACGTAGATAATGACGTGCAACGGTATGTAAATTAGATGAAGTATATATCACATAAATAATAATATTAATACATATTATATATATATATATATATATATATATATATATATATATATATATATATATATATATATATATATTCAAAATTTCCGTATCAGTTGCGTACAATTGTCTAATATATTTAATTAAAATTATTATTTTGTGGAATATTAGACTTAAAGAGTTATTTCGTAAAATTGATATTATTAATAATAACAAATGTTTTTGGTTATTTAATCAATATAATTCTAAAATTTCCAATATAATGATGACTACATTTTTCTGATTATTACACCATGTTGACACCTAGGAAAGATCGAGTAGTTCCGTATGGATTTCGTATTATTAGCTGTGTTAGGAAAATTTGAACTGTATGGTTGATGTTCTGGAAATTTTAAATACATGTGACGTCACTTTGTAGAAATCGTCACGCGCAAGTGTTTTATTTTGAAAAATGGTATAAATATATATATATATATATATATATATATATATATATATATATATATATATATATATACAAAAGGAACATTTTTGTTCTCGAGAGAGGAAGAAAGAGAAAATATATCTTCTGTCTCTCTCTTACTCATTATCTTACATAATATATAATGGTTTCACAGATTCACTCCCATGCAAATTTCCAACGCCGACCGTGCGTATAGAAGTATAACTTCAAAAAAAGTTAAGTACGTTAATTTGTTTAAAAAAACAAGTTGATATTTTTGAAGACCTTTTTACTTATCAGTACAGAATTGATATATGGGTTATATTAAATTTTATAGAAAAAAATATAATTCATACAAAACAGATTTACTTAAAAAACATTAGTTTTAATAATTGCTTTGTTTCTTAGTGTAACTATAACTTTACTACTGATTTGAACGACTTCCTCATTACTTTTTTTAGTGTACCAAGTAGGTAGTGCAAGTGTCTATTTCCCTCCGAAATTTCTGCCCTACGAACATCAAAGGTACCGACAAAGTTTTCGCTTCTTGTTGAGAGGTGTATTCTGTGGTTTTACATGGTTTTATACCATACCTACCCCAATAATACCACGTAAATTTTCTGTTTTAAAGTATTGTAAAAGATTCTATGGGTTTTGCTTCAGAACTTAAAAAAAATACTTCAAATTAATTAGTCAGAGAATACATATTTAACATTTAACCTTAAATAACTATGCTTCCAAGTTGAATTACATTCCTGACAAATAGTTCTGTTGCAGTGTCATAAAATCATCTCGAAGTACTAATCTGATTTGAATTTCTTTAAATTAATCTTAACATTTTCTTTAAATTTTTATTTTAAAGAAAACAAAAAACTGTAAAGAAATTAGGTTATTCATGTCTTCCTCTCATAAATACTATAGTATATATGTATTTTAAAATAGGTTTAGTTGATTATCTTTGAGGATTGATATCCTTTAACCACTTATTAGCGACGACCATGGCAATCGACGTCTCATCCAATGCCTACGTGACATAAGTCCGGCAACAATGCGTGAATATCATCCTCCAGTGGAGTTGTTTTCGTTTCATCTCTGTCTCTCTCTCACAGTCGGTCCGGTTTTAAATACGGTTCACGCATTGAACATTTGATTTGACTGACTGCTTAGTGATTTTCATTTCATTATTAAACTGTATTTTCTTCTGTGAGGTGTAGTGTAGTGCATAAAAAATGATGTCTTCAAAGAATCTAATGTTTAACAGATCCAGCCGAGAGCTTCTGAAAAATATTAGAAGACAGATCAGTAAAACATCTAGCGCTCCAAATAGCGATGCTATATCCAGACAGGACCATAAACTCGGGGTGAAAAATCTTGATTTAAACGGCTCTGAACAAAAGTCTGCCCATGAAAAATGGTTTGTCCACAGCAAACACAACAATATAAGGTATATGTTTGTTTTATTTTGAATTTGTAAAAAATTCGTTTTGTGTTCTTCAGTTTTACCATGTTCATTAGTTTCATATATAGAGTACATTGTGATATGAACAAAGGGTATCGAATGTTTGTATAAGTACGTATACTTATATTTTTCTATAACTTTATTATAATTGTCCTGCTAATATTATTCATGTTTCAATGTGTGTCAACAACATTTTTTTACTTTCTCTATTAAGTATGGTATTTCTTAAAGCAGCTTTACAAGATATTCAAATAAACCTGGGCTTAAGACAACTAGAAATCAGTAAAACATACTAAAATAAACATACTAAATTCCTTAAATTGCAAAGGTTAAAGACCTAAAGATAATGTTTGGGTACTCAAACATTTTAAATGTATATATTATAAATTCATTTAACAAAAGTTCATCAATAAAACATTTCAAGAATCTTAATTTAATTGGACATGGGCTTGGTTCTAGTTGGTCCTAGTGAAAACATACTAAATTCCTTAAATTGCAAAGGTTAAAGACCTAAACTGTTTGGGTACTCAAACATTTTAAATGTATATATTATAAATTCATTTAACAAAAGTTCATCAATAAAACATTTCAAGAATCTTAATTTAATTGGACATGGGCTTGGTTCTAGTTGGTCCTAGTGAAATGGGATAGATCAGTTAGCAATTATTAGTATTACCAGTTAACCAAGTGAAAATCTGAAATTGGTTGAATACTGAAAGCCCAGTATATCGCCAAAAAATATAATAAGTAGAGCTGGACAAATGTTTAAAATAAAATGAGAGAATATTAATTTAAGGCAATTTGACATGCCATATTTTGATGAAAGTTCACAAACTCTAAGAAATAGGTCAAAAATTTGATTTGAGGACAATAAAACATAAATGTTATTTCTCTGTGGGATTAATGATTTCTAAAGTGATAATTTCTACAACTAAAATGTCTTCTAACTGTAATTTTGCACTGATCGCACCCCCCAATATGTGCCCAAAATATCCTTTATACCATTTTTATGTTTAATATCCATGGTATATTAAAATGGAATCTTTTTATCTGTGAATGAATATATTAAAGCTGTCATTTGACCTGACCATCAAAACTTAATATTTTAATTATATCTTGTTTCACTTTCACACAAATGTTGGTTTTTCCAACCTTGTACACAAACAAGGTCAGGGAAAAATCTGGTTTAATCCCCTACTAAGATATTTCTTCATATATGTTGTGTGATATAACTAATCTGTATAAATAGAAGTTCTCAACGGCTTCTAGTAAGTTTGTTTGTTTCTCTTGACATTTCCAAATTTTCTTTTTATTCTAAAATTTGAAATATACATACATGTATTATAGTTCTTAATGATAAGCCATTGTTGTTTCAATTATTACTTATTTGTTTATTTTCTACAGTAGTCGAGGTAAATAGTCATTCTGTCTACATATTTAAAATCCTACCCATTCCTTTACCCATTTAGACATATAGTAAGTAATTTTGTTAACATACCTTGACAAGATGGAATAATATCTAAACCATTTAAAGAAATTGTAGAATTAACTATTGAAGTAAAGCTTAGGACTGACCTATAATAAAATCTGGAATATTTTAAAATGGCAAAAATTTTTATGTAGTCTCACTTTTACATATACAAAATGTTGAACAGTAGAACTAATGTCTCATGCAAATCAATGATTACTGTTGACTCAAATCCCCTAAGAACAGTGCAAAAATACTTGTGTATTATCAACTACTCAAATGCCTTTGACTTTTGATGAATTGCAAGGTGGAGTAACAATAGGAAGATGAAAAATCAGCAACTTTCGATATGCTGGTGTTACGTAATGTTAGCATCATAAACAGAAGAACTTAAAAATATTATGACTAAACAGCAAAAGTCAGAAGAAAAATACGGAGACACTAAGGCTACAAAAAATACAAAGCCATGCAGAAACATGAACCTTTAAAAAATCAGATTCTAGACTCCTGATGGCTTTAGAAATGTGGGTTGTGTATGGGGCAGCACACCACATTAATTACTTCATACTATGGGAACTTGACACTAACAGGAAACTTGATAAAAGCCTAATTCAAAGTATGATGATATACCTTAGACATGTTAGAAGAAGAAGAGATGGTATGAAAAGAATGATAGTTGAAGTCAATGTAACTGGGGTAAATTTACAGGAAAATATTCATTGCAATAGTAAGCAAAACAACATGCACATGGAACTGATGAATATAAAGCAATAGCCAATTGATTGACATAACATCACTACATCTTTACAATGGATATAAAGGATGAAGGAGAAAATTATTTATTAATTAATAATAATTAATTTATTATTCAAGTAAATACATTGTCAAATACACCATCTAATTTGTTTAAACAATTTTTTTTCAATTTTTTACTCTTTTTTTAATAATATTTGTGGTAATTTTTGTTGTAAAACATATATATTTATGATTTTTACTATTAACTTATATGTTTATTATTATTTATTGGTTAATATTTATTTACTTAACAATTTTTAAACAAATAAAAAAATGTTTTTTTGCTTCAAACATACTTTTTTTGATAAATGTGAGTTATTCTAATGTGAAAGTTATTCTTGTATGTTTTCTCGTAAAATACTTACTTTAAACGTAAAATGCAAATAAATAATAAAAAAGCTGATTTTAAATTTTTTCGTGTTATGAAAAAATCTTATTTCCATGGTCTATGCAGAATAATTGTATGCTGATTCTGTAAAAACTTGAACAAATATTTTTAGAATCTGACCAGGTGAGAAAGGTAGCTCTGAAACCGATAATATATATTTTTTATTTTTGGACCTACAATATAGATGAAATTAAAACCAACTATTAATATAACTTACTGGAATAAAATATTAAAATTGATAATTTTAATTTTGACCAAAATTTTATTTTTGACATTGCAAAAATTTTATGTAATTATTAGCATATTTGCAGAATGTTTTCTACTAAAAAAGTATGAAAAAATTTTTTAGGGAATTCTAACTGAAATAGTTCCTTAAATTATAGTCCCCTTGTTAATGTTTTAAGTGTGCTACTGTTGTTGGGAAATTTACATCCCTCTATCCCTGACAGGAATCAGACTGAAGTAAGGACTAGGCAATGTTGCCAACTTTAAGAAATGTATATCTTCTTAGGTAAATGTAAATTAAAATTCTGTTTTACAAAATAAGGCTCGATTATTAAATTTTAAAAAATGTATGATTGTTTATTAATATTTATAGGTAATAAAATTTAATAATTATACTTGTTAAAATACTATCCTTTACTATCGCGATCATAAGTTTTAACCTACATCTTGGTTATTGACTAACTTATCCAAGATGTGGCTTGGTGGGCTATGTGACAAGTCTCGTGCAGTTTTTTCAGGAGAGGATTCCCGTTGTAAACAATCTCGCGCTCTTTTCGCGGATTGTTTACACTTGTAGTATTTGCTTATCTAAATTTCTATTTTTATCCAAGTAATTATTGATATTTCAATTTCTAATCTTTTTAAAATAAAACTTAAATCAATATTTATGTGAACGAGTTTCAAATGACCTAAAACACAAGTACATAATATAATAAAAGCCATTTTATTTTAAAGAATTGTTACAGATAACAGAAGTAAATTGTAAATTAACAAATATTATTTCACTCATCTAACCGCATCTTTTTATTATAGCTCCTCGTTTGTGATATTAATCCGTACTTGATCTCCGTTCCTTTATCGGTTTTTACGTTTTGAGTTCAACTCACTTTATTAGTTGTTTAGTTCTAGATGCTCCCGCCCTGTCGGGTTTCAGGCACATCTAATAAAGGTATTGCTCGTTACGTGTCGCGATTTGATCCGTCGTGAGCGTGGGTAACCTCTGGCGTGAACGTGAACTGTGGAGTGGGCGCGTGATTCACGTACATTTGCGATTAAATGCTTCCTAGCCCATTGTATCAGTTGCGGAAGTACTCAGTAATCTCAATAATCTAGCGTTTCAATCGCTCGATTTTCACTGTAAAAAAGATATTGCGATATGGTTCCAAAAGCGGGACAGCAAGACTGTTGTTAAGGCATACATGGTCTAATTTGTTTAGTAGACGTAGATCACTGCAATGTTTCCAAAACTATTAAACATCCACATTTGGTTGACTCTTCCTTCGTAATTATAATTTAATTTCAATATGGGTTTTATGAATATCCTCAGCCTCATGAATTCTTAAATTCATCCAAGATCATTGTTGAAGTTAGTGGGATGTGGAGTTTATGAAAGCAAAAAGTTGAGTCAGTTTGCCGACTTGTTCTTGGTTTGTTTTGATGCTGACCAACTTTGTTCGTAGATTAAGATTTTTAAATGTTTTATAGCAGATACTTTACCTATTCCTTAACGTTCATCTGTCTTGCCTCACTGAGAAATTTTATTGCCTTAAAATTTGGGTCCAAGAATAAGCCACAATGTAAGTAGTGGGATTTAAATAGCTTTTTGAATGCATATTTTTTTTATTGATAATTCCTTAACCAAACCTAAATCTTCAGGTTTCACTTGGCAATGTTTGTTAAGCTTTTCTTCTAATAAAACGTATCTGTTTAAGGTGTGATGTAAATATCTTCTTCTTCTTCTCTGCTTCTTCTTTTTATATAGACATGACTCTATCTGTTTTTCAATGTGCCTTTAGTAAGTTGTCATTCCATCGTTTTCGTGGTCCTCCTATTGATCGTCTTCCTATTGGGGAACCGTCTCTTGCCGTCTTTCCTACTCTATTTGTTGTCCTTCGGCTTATATGATCGTTCTATTCTACTCTTCTATTTCTTACCCAGTTCTTGATATTCTCCACCTTTCATTTATGTCGTATATCTGTACTTCTAGCTCTGTCCCATAGTGTCTTACCATCAATTTTTATGTTTTCATCTCTGCTCTTTCTAACATCCTTTTTATCCTCTCTGTGTCAAGTCTTGTTTCTGCCGCGTATGTCATTATTGGTCTGATGA